TGGTTTGTTTACCGAGAAAAAATAAAAATGCAATTGCTTTTTAATTTCGCTGATATAGAAATTTCACCAGTTCTTCATATGTGGGATGTTAAAATTGTTCTAATTTATTCATATTTTTTTTAAGTACTGCCATCAAAATTTAAAAATTTTAAATGTATTAAAATGTTTTTTTTTATAAATTAAAACAATGGCTTAAAACGATTTATAAGTTTGGTTGTATTAATTAAATAATAATTAATGAATGATAATATTTTTGGTCGCAATGCAAGAATAAATGGACTGTTGTCAATAACTTAACATTTAGGTTATTAATTATATAGATTAAAAGTTGAATTTGAAACGTTTATAAATATAAAGGTTATTATATTCTTTAAGAAATCCTCAGTATAAATATTGAAATTTTCAGGTGAATACAACCTTCCTTGCTAATAATTTATTTAATAAAATCACTTTAAGAAAACTGCGACACTTCACAGTGTTTCCCCAATTATTATATGCCGCAATATTGTCTTAATTTAATTATTATTCTATGTAATATGTTCAATTTATTCTGTTTAATATTCCGTTATATAATTCCGTCATTATTACTTTAATTTTTTTTTTAAATAATGCAGTTCTGGAAGTAGAAACGAGAAAGAGTGAACTAGTAGAACCGTTCCTATGTATAAATTATATTATTAAAGATATCTTAAACAATTAATGAATGTTTATACAAATAAATCAATTGTCACGGCAATTCACCAAAAATGTTTGAATTAATCCAATGTTTAATTGATATTTAATTATAATCAAGTTGTCAAATGAATTTAAGTCCAGCTTTATTATATTTCACATAGTGCAGGATAAGCCCATACCACGTCCAAATTGCTTCCTGGAGGCTGGCAGATCTCATTTTCCTAGTTTGGGTTTCTTTAGTAGGAGTGTCGGATGCTAACCTATTGCTAAGCGGTTTACAAGTGGGAACTTAGCTGTGTGGTGGCTTGAGTTTAAACTCCAATTACTCCATTAACCTGCTTGAACACTCTCTAAAAGTTTAATTACTCAAAGGAGGAAACATAAATTAGATCTTCGAAACTTCTTAGTAAATTTGATTAGATTTATTACATATATCGATACCCGTGAAACTTCAAGGAGGAAGGGATTATGTGTTTGGGTTGACAGCTTTAATGGCGATTTTTTGAGTGAAATTTTAGTGAACGGTTTTTAAGTTTGAGGGCCTAAATTACCCGGTGAGATCCGTGGGCTACTGTTAAACAAAATATTCTATAAAATGTATTTAGTCTGTCCTATGTAGGTTGGTCAGAAATTCAAATTAATTCGAAATACGCATAAAAATAAATTTTGTTATATCTTAAATTTTATTATAAAATAAATTTTATCTAATGAAATAAATAATCTATCCCAATATATATAAAAATTCTAACTTTTTTTTTTTTTTAAGTGGAAAGTTATTTAGGCGTGCTTCACTCTTTTTTCGTGGAGAGTGAATTAGATTCAGCCGTCTGGTTTTCGATGTGTGACGCTCGGGTAAAGTCGGCTGTTGTCGACTAATTGAAGTGTTTTTTCATGTGGAATAAAATATCACAAAAACTATAAATTTGACTCAGAAAAATAAATTTTGTTATATCTTAAATTTTCTCGATATTTTGTTAATTTTATGTCATATCATATTGTTTAAGGTCGTGATCTCATATGCTGAACATAAATTGTCCATACATTTAAAAATAAAAATTAAAAAAATATATATTTTCATTAAAAAAATCGACTAAATAAATTTTATCTAATGAAATAAATAATCTAACCCAATATATATGAAAATATTAACTTTTTTTTTTAAGTGGAAACTTCTTTAGGCTTGCTTTAATCTTTTTTCGGGGAGAGTAAATTAGATTGAGCCGTCAGATTTTCGATTTGTAACGCTCGAGTAAAGTCGGCTGGAGTCGACTAATTGAAGCGTTTTTTCATATGGAATAAAATATTTCAAAAACTAAAAATTGGACCAGCTTATTGTTAGCGAGGGAAATTTTCATCATTTCATCTTCTTTGTAATGAGCAATTATTCAAAATTTAATCTTAACGCGATGGTGCACAGTGGGCCAAGAAAGGGAAAACTCGCAACAGCGGCCAAATGTATTTTTTTGTTTTTATAACTCCAAAAACTAGATCAACTGTTTTATTGGCACCTTTTGGAAATCGTGGAGTTTCCGAGAATATTTTGAATTCAGCCGAATTCGCGAGTTTTCCCTTGCTCGTCCCACTGTGCACCGTGTTAGAAATGGAGAAATGAAAAAATATTATCGTAAACTAAATGATAACGAGTTTAATGGAAGATATGGATTAAAATATCTCATAAACTAAAAATCGGACTTGCACACAATTAGCGAGAGAAATTTCTACATTTCATCCTCTTTGTAATGGGCTATTATTTATAATTTATGTTTCATATTATTAATCTCGGATTGTTGAGGTTTTCACTTCTATGGCGTGGTCTAAAGCACATACCTTCGTTTTTTTTTTTTTTTTTTTTTAATTTTTGATCAGACCAATCAAAAAGAGTAATAACAATCAATGCATTAGACGAAAGTAATTTGATATTTGTCATGAGAAGTGGCAAGAAGAGAAACAGTACTCAGCTCTACTTCCTCTTTGCATGATATTTAATTAAATGTTAGGCCAGAAAGTCCCTCATCCAGCTCTTCTTCAATCTTCTACGGACTTACCTGGCACGCTTGTTGCCATGTCGCCAGGTACAGTATGTAATTTACGAGTTCGTTAGGATGTTCTTGTAATTTGTCGTGGAATCGTTTGTAATGGTTTTCTATAGGTTTGTTAATAGTCAGCATGTGAAAGTCAATGTGTAAGGTTATGTTTTTTATATACTAAGGTACTTTTTTAATTGTCCTGAATATTTTTGCTTGAATGATTTGAAGTTTGTTAATATGAGGAGTTTAACTATTGTAAATATCTGTAATTTTAATAAGTTAGTGCATCAATTACGGCTCCTGGCAAGTATATTTCGCCTTATGCAACAGTTCATTCGTACAAAGAGCCTTGAGTTTTGTTCTCAATCTAAGTGCATCAATCAAATCAAACCATCGGATTGCACTTGACTACTACACATATTTTAAACGTAGTCGTCAATTTCCCTAACAACCTACCAATGTATAAACTCGATATCTTTTGTTACACAAATACACTAAATACATTTTTGATAGAGCTGGAATTTTATGAACTTTTTTGTGAATCTCGACTTTATTTATCGATTACCAAATACAGCAACTGCATAAAGATGACAACAACTCTTTTATATATCTAATAGGTACAAAAAGCGCACACTTTTCTGATTTCACAAATGGGAAATTTATTATAGTTCTTAGTTATTTAATTTTATGAAATGTCACATAATGGCTTTTTGTAATAAACCGACGATATACAGGGAGTCACTTTTTTATGGTCAAATTCTAATACGGGCGATTCTAGTAATTCTAGATAAAATTTCCAACAAAAAAGTTCATTTGATGTATAGCCCGATACCGAACGGAAATGGAGTTAAGACCGGTTTTGTGGTTTTCTTAAGATGTTCACGTTTTTTATTGAATAAGAACGAATAGCTCAAAAACTATTAAAGGTAATTAAATTCTAAGTACGCCATCGTAAAGTGCACAAAATATTTTTGAGAATACAGTGATTAAATTTAGTAAGGTTAATGATAAAAAAGGACTTTCAATAGGTCTTATATGGTCGCTGTACATTTGCAGTTACAGTAGCCATACTCAAGCATCATATATCAGTATTGCGGCTATATTAGATCTCCTGAAAGTCCGTTTTTATCATTGATCTTAGTAAATTCTATCACTTTTTTCGAAAAAAAAAAATTGTCTACTTTACGATGGTGATACTTAGAATCCAATTATCTTGAACATGTTTTGAGTAATTCATTTTATTCAATAAAAAGGTGACCACCTTAAGAAAAACACAAAATCGGTCTTAACTCCTTTTCCGTTGGGAATTGGCCCATGCATCAAATAAACCTTTTGTTGGAAATTTATCTAGAATCACCTGCCAGAATTTGGCCACTTAGAACTTGTTTATTGAGAAATATTACAATTTGTTTCAAAGGACATTTATAATCAAAGGACATATACATTTACACTCTATGTACAATAAATAAAAATAAACTAATCAGAAATATATGTATATACACACACACACACACACACACACACACACATATATATATATATATATATATATATATATATATATATATATATATATATATATATATACAATAAATAAGAATAAAGTAACTTTAAATTAAATTAATAAAAACATCTACATACCTATATACACTATTTAAAATCAGGCGAGGGAACTCCGAGCCAGACTTTTCCATACAGCTATGAAGGGAAAAGCATGGCTCCAGGAGATCCATTCACTACTCTCTCAACCGCGTCACTGAGGCTAAACCCAGTGGAGATTGAGCGAGAGCGCTTTGTTAGATTTAAAAAAAAATTAAAATATTGTTTTAATTATTTAGTTATTGTATATAGGTGTGTATGTGTTCTTTTTATTTATTTATTTTTAGGTTATTTTATTCTTATTTATTGTATATATATTATTTTTCTGTATAATTTATTTTATTTATTGTAAATAAAGTGCGAATGTAAACTGTGAACTCTATTATAAATGTCCTAGAGACAGATTGTAATATTTTTCAATAAAAAAAAAAAATATTTACTATATCTTGACTAATTAACCCCATTCTATTCTTACGTAATAGCTATCATATCGCATGGCCTTTTATACTATAGCTGTCATTACCAGAACGGGATGAGGCAGACATTAAATGATCGATGTTTAAATGAGTGTTCAGTATTTATAACGATACTTGGTTTTATCTAGGATTCTCTGTCTTTAATGTTTATTCTGGTTGCCCAGGATGTACATGGTTATATAACTCTATTAGTAGAAAATAACAATCCCTTAAGATAGATTACCTGAGGAGGTGTCCATCCCTCCTCCGGGAAGCTTGCCACGGGGAGTCCTCGTAGCGGTAGGCCTTCCTGATGAGGGGGGCGCAGGAACAAGACAGCTTGTTGCCCATACCGTCCCCGATCAGAGTCCCCGTTGGTCACCGAGCAACCATCCTTTCGTCCGTCTCCCCATCTCTCTGAAACATAATGTAATATTGTATCAAATAACTTGTAATGTTATGAAGTAAAACTATTCTAAATTATGATTAAGCATGCTGTATAGCATGCTATTGTCTATTATGAAACTAAACTTACAGACCAGGTTGGAGTAACTACAAATAAATTTCTATTGAAGCATTTTTTGTGGATTGCGCTGTCAAATAAACTTATATTTTATGATAACAAAAGTCATACTAAACTGAAATTGTGTACGTTTTTGTTGAATTCGTTAAACCAGGAGTGGTACTCTATACTATCGATTTTACGAATTTTTCAAAAACGCCTCTAACGATTTTGAACTCGGTATATCATTGTATTAAATAATCTTTCATATGATTTAGGTGTTATCCACCTTGATATCACTTTACAATTCCTAAGTGCCCAATTTTCAACATGTTTTCCTCTAAAGTATTATTAATGCGGTTTATTTTAAATAATTGACTATCTCTCATTGTTATGAGTTATAAAAAAAAAGGTACATATAACTTTTGATAGAGTTTGATAACTGAATGAAGGATAAAAAAAGAAAAATGCTTATCTAACTCGAAAATGAAGCTTCGGAAATAATAGTCAGAAGGTTTATTGTATAATATGTCATTTGAAAGCGGGGAATTTTAGAAAAAAATAATATCAAATAAGTAAACTTGTAGAAGATAAGGGAGAGTGACAAAAAATAAATAAATAATAATTTATGAAAACTAGCATTATTCAAACTAAATAACCTGTTTCCAAGGAAATTAAATGAAATTTTCTTAGAAAATGTAAACTTTTAAAAAAATGTTAAGTTTAAAAACAAAGTATTTAAACTCCACCAAATCAAGGCAATGGTATTGTTTAAAATACTATTTCATTGTACTTATATGAAAGAAGAAGTGAAATATAAAAAAAAAATCATGGATATGTTTATAAAGTTAAATACATTTACTGTAGTTAATAACTCTAGATCTGATATTATATTTAAATGCTTAATCTATCCTCTCTTAATTCCGAAAAATCATCATGTAAACTTTTAGAAAATTGTTCACTATGTGAGAATTGTTCACAGATGTTTCTCTCTATTTATAATGTATGTAAAATATATTATAAATAAAGCACAATGTACATGGTAATGAAGATTGCATAATTAAAAATATTACTGTATTCTTGTCTGTAAGAAAGGACCTTACTTAAGTCCTAAGAGATTAAAAATCAATCAATCATAGCAGAGGTTCAATTAGTCTCTCAATCATGAAATTAGTCTGTCAATATAGCAAGGATCTTATGTTATAATAATAATAAAGGGAATCCGGAGGTTCGATGCCGACACCACCAATCGCTTATTACACACCTCCCTCCACCATTCGCCGTTCAAACCCAGTTCCTTCATATCGGCTTTAAACGCAATCTTCCCACCTTCGCTTCGGTCTACCTCTTGGACGTTTACCGTTCGATATAGCAAATATCAAGCTTTTAGGAATTCTTTCGTTACCTCCAAGTTAGTTAAGCCCAACTATTTTCCAAGTCATTTGATTCTCCGCGATGTGATCACCTCAATTATATTACCTAGATACAGTTCACGCAACTCGGCATTGAGCAAACTTCTGAACTAAGGATCTTATGTTAATAAATCAAATTAATACAGTTACGGTAAATGTCCCAGTCTTATCTCTTCCTTTTGATTCAAATCTGATACGTGAATTTTGTAACGTATATAAGTTTACTGACCTTAAGCTTGTGGGATTGATTCGGCAACCTACATGAAAAATATTTATTTAGGACAGGGCCCTATTTAGAGAAAAGCAAAAACCTAATTTAACCCTCACATGCCTTTAAATCTAGATAAAGATAAAATTGAACCAGGAACTTCACGTTAGTAATATTTCAGAATATAATGCCCTGTAGAAAATGTAAATTATTCTGACCGATTGTCGTATCGCTTTACATCTCCTATTATGATGGTAAGTTCTGTATACAAAGGATAATCTTTAGAATCAACATTCTTCTATATCTGTAGGCTACGTAAGAGTTTCCATCAGATGGGATTGTTTCTCTCTAACAAGAGCCCAGCGTCTGTCTCAAAATAACCAATGATTGCATCCACTTGAATCATGTAAGGCAGAAGAAACCTCTTTTTTTTTTCATATTTCAAGAGTTTCAGATCAAGATTAGTGGATAAGTATAATATTGTGTAAGTGACATTTACTAGATTGGAAAGAAATTGTAAACTTTTGCATAACAAGGCGTATTTACATTTTGATCTAAATCCTTTAGTTCGATTAATTTAAACCATAAATCCATCAGAAAAGAGGAGGGAGGGACAAGCTCTCTTAAATGCTTTCCTTTTAAACGTTAAAAAAATATAATTATAAAATTGGAAAAAATATATGAAAATTATTTAACGACGGGTAGATGATGAGATTTTAAGATTCTTAATGAAACAAAAAATAGTTTCTTTACTTTTAAATTAAAACTCCTTTTAAATAATTGCCTCCTTTCCCTTTTGTATCGACTAAGCCTTAGATTCATAATAAATCATTTATATCAAATTAAATAGAAGCCAGAATAATAATAATTTTTTTTTTTTTTTTTTTTTTTTTTTTTTTTTCCTACCCCCCAGGAATTTCTTGAATAAATTCAGTATGTATATAAATGTATATATACATAAATTTTCAACTTTCCTTTTATTGCCCAAGGGCATTTTAAGTTAAGAGGGCTCTGCACGCTGTATGCGTTCTTTGCATCTGTGGCCAAAGGCCTTTTATTATACCACTGGGCGTGGAGGGACCGCCCTGCATTAATTTAGTATTTATATTATTGTTAGTGGGTGTGAACTACTGAGTCCAAACCCCTTCCCTCGGCGAGAACATCAACCAAGGGGACTTTACCTTGCCACCTCCCAGGCCTGGACGGCGGTACTATTTCCTGGAAAAGCGGGTTAGCACAGACCTTCAGCCCATCGAAAAATTTGACGTGTCTTCGGCCTATGAACTCAGGCACCGATGGGAGCTGAAGCTCCTCTCGGATCTTTACATTCTTTGCCCTTTGCAGGGTGGTACCTCTGACTATTCGCCGAAGGATGGAGTTTTGATAACTCTGGAGTTTCTTGAGCGTGGACTTATACAGGTGGCGGAGCAACGGTGCACCATAGAGCAACGTAGGCCTGATGACCGCCTTGTAGATTTGCAGTTTTAGTCTCAACGAGAGCTGCGGCGACTTTAGCAGATGGTAGAGCCTATACTCCTTTTTCCGAGCCAGCTTGAGCCTCTGGTTGACGTGAATAGTAAAGGTGAGGTGCCTATCCAGAGTCACGCCTAGGTAGAGGACTGAGTTGGAGATCCGCTGGTCCACTCCACCAATGGTGAAGTGAGTGGGCAGGGGCTTCTTTCCTTGCTGAAATGACATCACTATGGCATCGGTCTTATTAGGATTTACCTGTATGCCGTTCTTCTCAAGCTCCTTGACGATGGTATCTGTGGCATTCTGTGTTTTCATGAGAGCTCTCTCTGCGTTAAGGCTGGATGCATAGACTGCGATATCGTCAGCATAGGCTGCTACCACCGCTTCTGGATGTTTAAGTGCCACTACTGGCGCCGTGAAAACGACGAACAGTAATGGCCCCAACACAGACCCTTGCGGCACTCCACACGTTGTATCGACTGGGTTCGAATAGTCATTACCAACTCTTACGACGAAAGTTCTTCCACTGAGGTAGCTTCTGACCAGACGGCATAGCGGGGCTGGGAATTTGTACTCTTCCAGTCTTCGAAGTAACAGCGCGTGAATAATAATAATAATATTTACTGAATAATATATTCTCAAGACCGAAATTAATTGTTGTGAGAAAATATTAGTAACTACCAAGAGAGTTATTTTAAAAAACATACAATTATTATAAGATATTAATAAATGTAGTGTTTTCATTTCATAAATGAGAATTTGTTCAATAAATATTTATAATTGATTCCCTAAATACCCGTATGAATTACTTTTTTTTATTATTCCCCAACAATTACACATCTAAATTAACATACCTTTCTAGTGACAAATTAAAATAAATAAAAATTTAATTCCAATTATTTGCCTAATCATTTTTTTCTTCATTAGTAATTTGCTAAATAAAAATAACATTACTTCAGTAACACATTCAAAAATCAAAATCCATACAAAGGATTTGCAGTAGAACATAAAAACCATCTAAAGACCATATCTTTGTTCCTAATTGTCGGATTTTAGCGATTTTTAAAAAAAATAAAATTCCGTAAACTTTTAAAAAACCATAAACAATGAACTAAAAATATTTAAAAATCGCGACATCTTCACTAATATTGCTCTGATTTCGATGGAACTTTCTTTGTTTTTTAAGAAATTTAAATACCTTTGAAACATCTTATCACAATATCGTCAAAAAAGTGTATATTTTTTGAGTTATTCGGAATCTAATTTTACTACAGTTCGTAACTTTTTCCAGATTCGTTTCGTTGAAGTATGTTATATAGACTAGTAGGCACGTGCGAAAAATTCGCACAGCATATAGTTATCAAATGAAAAATTAATAAGAAAATGCAACTTATCAAAAGATTAAGACTTCAAATGTTACTTTATCAATAAATATAATCGACAAATAATAATAATAATAATAAGGCTTAGCGAACCCGAAGGTTCGATGCCGACACCACCAATCGCTTGTTACACACCTCCCTCCACCGTTCGCCGTCCAAACCCAGTCCCTTCAGATCGGCTTTAATGCAATCTTCCCACCTTCGCTTCGGTCTACCCCTCGGACGCTTACCATTCGGCACCGCACATATTAACCTTTTAGGAATTCTCTCGTTACTAAGCCCAACAACTTTACAAGCCCATTTGATTCGCTGCGATGAAATTACCTCAATTATATTACCCGGATACAGCTCACGCAATTCGGCGTTGTGTAACCGTCTGAGCTCTCCGGATAACTCATCCTTCTTCGGTCCGAATATTCTACGCAATACTTTATTTTCAAAAACCTTAAGACGCTGCTCATCCCTTAATGTAAGCGGCCAAGTTTCGCATCCATAAAGAACTGTAGGCAAGATAATTGTTTTATAGATTCTAATTTTTAAGTTTCGGGACAAGAGGCGCGA